GAGGGGCCCTCGGCCCTCGCGGCCTCGCCTAGTCGCCTCGACCTCGACATCTCGTCTCGCACGGAGCGTGCCCACGCCCGTACGTGCGTGCGTATGCACCCACCCACCCGTACTCACGGTTCACTGGAGCACTGTGTGCGTAGGGGTAGTGCCAGGGGTTCCAGTAATTTGTTTTTTTAGATAATGGAAAAATTTGCGGCTTCAGCCTTCTTCTGGAAAGAAGAAGCATCAGTGTAAACTTTCGGCGTGTTTAGTTCCACCCTAATTTCCAAAAAGTTGCTACAGTACCTGTCACATCGAATGTTTGCGGCCCATGCATGGAGCATTAAATATAGACGAAAATATAAACTAATTGCACAGTTTGGTGGAAAATTACGAGACGAACGTTTTGAGCCTAATTAGTCCATATTTGAACACTATTTACCAAATAAAAACGAACGTGCTACAGTAGCCCTAAAATCCAAATTCCTACAACTAAACAAGGGCTTTTTATAGTAGCACACCCATAATTAAAATTTATTACATGTTCAAAACTAAAGTCCAAGACGGTAAATAAAAGACCATCCATGCGATGTGAAGAACTCCATGGCTCTCGATTCTAGTAGCTTGCAAGCGTCAAGAATTCGTTCCTTGCTGTCATCCGAGCGCTGCAATAGAGCCCAAAACCGTAACCAGTATGTTCCCCTGAAAAGAACCTGCAAAAAAGTTTTTGGGTGACCTTTATCAAAAACCACATCGTTCCTTGTGATCCATATTGCCCAGCAAAACGCAACAGCCCCGGTCAATAAAAGATGATTATGGTTGGAACCTCCTAGCTTAGACCAACTATTGAAAAGATGGTTCGTGCTCCTTTGAGGATTAATGCCAAACAAAACAAACACAGCACGCCAAAGAAAACTGGCATAATGGCAATAAAAAACAAGTGTTGAATAGTTTCAGGTGTGCTAAAAAACAAGCCTTACTACCATTCCAATTCCTTCTAGCAAGATTGTCTTTTGTTAGTATCACCCCCTTCTTTAAGAACCAAAGAAAAATCTTAATCTTTAGGGGCACTTTCATATGCCAAATTTTCTGGGTAACCTTAATCCCGTTATTGACTAGGTATTTGTACATGGATGTAACAGAAAACAAGCCATTATTATTTAAGTTCCAGATGAAAGTATCCCGACCCTCATTTAAGTTAATAAAAACAACTCTCGCAACTAGACTTTGCCATTCCAACAGCTTGTTCCCAACTAGTGCCCTTCTGAAAGACACATTGAGAGGGGTGGAATTAAGTACATCAGCCACCGTTGCTTGTTTCTTCCGCACTATATTAAATAAATTCAGGTATTGGATTTTCCAGGCTTGGGAGCCCAACCATTTGTCATCCCAAAATCTAATTTGAGTTCCATTGTCTAGTTTAAACGTCCCAACACTTAAGAAAATGTCTTTGACTCCCAGCAAACCATTCCAAAATTGCGAAAACCCGTTTTTCTTTTCAATTTGACTAAGAGTCTTGTTCTTTAGGTACTTGTTCCATATTAACTCCTGCCAAGTGCCCTCCTCGTTGCAAAGTTTGAAAAGCCATTTGCTTAAAAGACACTTTTTTTGTAAATCTAGATTTTGAATTCCTAAACCACCTTGCTCTTTTGGTTGGCACAAAGTATTCCACTTTGCCGGTCTATATTTCCTTTTGTGCTCATCATTTTGCCAAAAAAAAACCTTGATCTAAAATATTCAATCTTTTTTAGAACACCTCTCGGGACTTCAAAGAAAGACATCATGAACATAGGTAAGCTTGACAAAACAGAATTGATTAACACTAATCTACCCCCATATGATAAATGTTTTCCTTTCCACCCACTTAACTTCTTTTCAATTCTTTCTTCAATTAATTTCCAATCCTTATTATATAACTTCCTGTAATGCATAGGAAGGCCCAAATATCAAAAAGGGTATGATCCCATTTTGCAACCAAATAGATATGAGTATTGCTCCTCAAATTCTTTTGCTTGGCCAAAGCAAAATAATTCACTTTTATGGAAGTTGATTTTCAAACCTGATAATTGTTCAAAAGTACCAAGCAAAAGTTTCAAATTTTTTGCCTGTTCAATATCATGGTTGAAAAATAGAACCGTGTCATCTGCATATTGCAAGATAGACAAGCCATTTTCCACTTGGTGTGTAACAACCCCTTTTATTTGGCCTTCCTCCTTGGCTCCAGATAAAATGATAGCTAGCATATCTACAACAATATTGAAAAGGATCGGTGACAGAGGATCACCTTGTCTAAGACCTTTCTTGGTCTGGAAATATGAGCCCATTTGGTCATTAACTTTAATGCCCACATTCCCACCTTGAACAAAAACTTTGACCCAATCACACGACACCGGATGAAACCCCTTCATTCTTAGTGCTTGTTGTAAGAAATTCCAATTCACCTTATCATATGCCTTTTCAAAATCAATCTTAAAGATAATTCCATTTTGTTTTCTTTTATGTAACTCGTGTAAGGTTTCATGTAAAATACCTGCACCCTCCATTATATTTCTCCCAGGTTGGAATGTTGTTTGGGATGGTTTAATTATGCGTTGAGCTATCTTTACAATTCGGTTAGTAGCTACTTTAGTAAAAAACTTGAAGCTAACATTTGACAAACAGATATGTCTATATTGTTGTATTTGTTTAGCTTCTTTAGACTTTGGTATTAAAATGATCGTTCCGAAGTTTAGGCTATGTAGAGGCAATTCTCCCTTATGGAAATCTGTGAACAAAGCCATCAGATCACCCTTAATTACATTCCAGAATACCTGATAAAACTCTGGAGGAAAGCCATCAGGACCTGGAGCCGTATTATGGTTCATTTGGAAAATTGCACCTCTAATCTCCTCATCCGTAAACTCAGCAACCAAGAGATCATTTTCCTCAGCTGTAACTTGAGGGATGTCATCACGGTATGACTCATCCATCACCAAATTGTTATGATTAGATGGCCCGAATAATTTTTTATAGTAAGTGGTGATATATTTTTTAAGCTTAGCGTCACCGTGAATTAAACCTTCCTCCTGCTCCAGCCTAAATATCCTAGTTTTTCTGTGTTTCCCATTTGCTACTAACTGAAAGTATTTTGTATTGGCATCCCCTTCTAATAAATTCTTTACTTTAGCACGTTGGTACCATTTTATTTCTTCCTCTCGTAGAAGTTCGGACAAATTTGAGCGTGTTTGAAAGATTGAAACGAATAAATTTGAAAGCAGGAGTCCTTTCCGGAACCGGAATCCAGATGGTACTTCTCGACTAGCATGTGAAGTCTAGGGCCTAGCTACACGCTTAAGCCCTTATTTAGATCCAATGTGTAAAGTTTTGGAATATCACATCGGATATTACATAAGGGTGTCGCATGTGGTGTTCGGATACTAATAAAAAAATTACAGAATCCGTCGTTAAACCGCGAGACGAATTTATTAAACCTAATTAATCCATCATTAGCGTATATATTACTGTAACACTTTATTGTCAAATTATGGACTAATTAGGCTTAAAAGATTCGTCTCTCAAATTAGTCGTAAACTGTGTAATTAGTAATTTTTTCAGTCTATATTTAATACTCTATGTATGTGTCAAACATTCGATGTGATAGGGTGTAAAGTTTTGGGATGGGAACTAAAAACAAGGGCTAATATTATTACGGCAAATTACTCGCGGTTACCTGATGATCGATCCATCAATCGTCGTCCTGCTCCATCTAGCCCTAGACCTGCCTTGTCGTCGAATGATCAATCAAATTGGCGCCCGTACTCGCATCGCATCACATCACCCACCTGCTGACAAAATAAAAAGGCGACGTGCGCGTCAGTTGTCAGGTCAATCAGGGTGAGATCATGCATGCTAGGAGTGGCAGTAGAGGTGATGAGCAGGGCTACTCATCACTGAGATCTCTCCTATATCCCCATCCCATCCCTCCTAGCTCGTCCGTCCGTCCTCTTCATCATGGGTCACGCAACATGCATGGCGAGTCCGGCCGTCCTGGAAATTGGAAAAACAAATTGAAGTACGTGCAGTACCAATGCCTATGCATGTGAGCGGCTGAACGCCGAGCGAGCACGAGCAGCGAGGGATCGGACGGAGAAGTGTACCGTCGCTGATCCGCTGGCAGGGACGGACGGACGGATGCATGGGGTGCGTGCGTTACTGTAAACCCCTGCTGCACGCACGCATGCTTTGCATATTTGCATGCATGTGTCATGTGCGGGGGTACGCGGTAGCCTGCCTGCCCTGGACCCTAGAGCTAGGGGACTAGGGGAGGCAGCAGAGGAGTGCAGCTGGCCTGGCCTGGACCCTAGAGCTAGGGGACTAGGGGAGCCAGCAGAGGAGTGCAGCATACAGGGGATGTTTGGTTTCGGGTCACAATTTGCCATGACTAATGATAGGCACCAGGCACATGTGTGGCTTGCCATAATCTGTGGCAAAAATAAGGTGTTTGGTTAGTGACTAAGGTTTGGCAAATAAAGTGTGGTTACTGTTTGGATTTCAGCCACAAAAATTTGAAAAATTGTTGTGTCATATGTTTGGTTTGCTGCCACATATACCTCAAGCCACATATATTACCAGTTTGCCAACCTTTACACAAAATCAATAACCAGGAAAACAATCAACATCCGGCTGTTTATTCTTCACGAGCAAAATAAGAACACACCATCTTCTAGCCATCATTCATTACCAGACAACTAAAAGTTCCTTAACATATTTACAAAACAGCCACGTTCAAGCTACAGGCAGGTTTAAAGGTCTATATTACAATATTAATTACAAAAGCAGCAAGCAGCTAGGCATGGATTAGTACTACACTGCCAAAATGGGCACACATCGAACCAAACAGCCTAGTTCATGTACATCCTAAGCCATCAGGGTCATCACCACAGCCAAAATAAGCTTGCATATATATCCTAAGCCATCAGTCATCACCACAACCAAAATAAGAACCCAACCAAGTTTCTGGGCTCACCACAAGCTAAGCTTCACAGGTTAAAGCCTTCTCTATCACATAAGAACTTGAACACCCAAGCATTTAGAGTATCGGCGCTTGCATTACATAACCAGCCACGCTTACCTTTATTCTCCTTGGTAGACAAATGTTCACCAATAAGAACCCTCTGATCTGGTGTTATTGGGATTGCCTCTAGCTTTTGCCATAATAGTGCATGAGGATCAGTAAGCTGTGGCATTTGGGGAGGGGCAGTGGCAGCAAGTGTTTCCCGAAGTGACTTCATTGTAGCAGTTATTTCATCAGTGGAACCTGCAAAACGGCTCTTGTTTCTTGGTTTCTTAGTTGGTGACTTATTGGCTCTTGGACGCTTCCTCCTAGCTTCACTAGTGCTGGAAGATGTGTTATCAAATGTAGCATGTCTGGTTGGAGTTGGCAAAGTGTCTGAATCCTCACCTTCTAGATCTTCAGGCTGTGTGTAGCAATTGAGGTCAATTAGTTCTCTTGATTCATCACTATCTGAGCCATCATCAGCATCCATGCATGTGTTTTGGTCCATAGCCAAAGATCCATCAGCATTGGATCCTATGAATAGTTCTCTCATCTCATAGTAGAACTTGATGGGCTTAGCAAGCAGGCGTCTTGCTCTGTCCTGCAATCATGTGAACAACGAAATTGATTTCATATACTACGAACAAGTGAATTGGTTTCAGATTCTAAAATAGAATAAATAATAATTAAATTTAGTGCAAGCAACTTACAGATAATTCTGCTTTCTCAGATTCTGAAACAATCACCATGCATCTGGTTTCATCAAATGTGTTGCCACTATTCCTCAGAGCTGTTGCAATGTACTTCCAATTTTCTTTGTGGTACCTATAGTGACGGTCCACTTGATCAACGGTCACCCCCATAGCAAACTTCTTGTTTAACTCATTGGCACACAACAGGAGATGTGATTTCTTGAACTTAAATCATGTATGCTATTTTTTCAAATGCTCAATGCACCACTCTAGCATGTACTTTGACTGATGCTCATGCCAATTCAAGGACCTCTCACGGGAAGGTGCAACAACATCAACCTTAGCCTTTCCCTTGGCCATGGTTGTTTTCCATACAAGAGATATTTAATTAAAATCACAATTAAATTTGCAAGGAAAGGTACATAATAGAGATCACAGAGACTCAAATAAATTGGGATGACAGAACAACAGCCAACCTGTACCAGGTACATGTAGGTAAAAGCATCGCATTATATATGTTCCATACATAGAAAAGAAAGCATCACACTTGAATATATGTTCGATACACAGAGGTAAATCAACAAGAATTAATTTGCAAAGATAGTAGCACACAATTTCTTGAACCTAATCTAGAGCAGCTCCTACTTTATCTTCCCACATCCTTTGATCCATGTCATCTCTTTTTCTAGCCCATGCCACATTTTCCTGGTGCATATCACTACGATTTCTAATACTTCGAGGCAAGGTTGTGTACCAAGCAGCATCATCATAAACATACTCGTCAGGACCGTCCTATAAGATCCAATTATGAAGAGCACAACAAGCCATCACAATTTTGACTTGTGTTTTCAAAGGGAAGAACGGCTGACTCTTGAAGATTTTGAAACGATTCTTGAGGGTACCAAATGCTCGTTCAACAGTAGTTCTAAGTGAGGAATGGCGAAGATTGAATAATTCCTTCGGGTTCTGAGGCTCCCTGGTCCCCCTATATTCTTTTAGGTGATATCGAGTACCACGGTACGGAGGTAATACACCAGGCCTTGCTGCATATCCAGCATCAGCTAGGAAATATTTGACTACATCATTGGTTTTTCCAGATTAATTAGTTAAGTATATAGGTGAAGTTTCAGATTGGAGGTATTAGGACAATGGAGTATTCCTACCTGTTGGTATGTTAAGCCCATTAGGACGTGATAGAGCATCTTGAAGCACATAAGAATCATGGGCTGATCCCTCCCATCCGGCAAGAACATATATGAACCTTAGGTCAAAATCAACTGCTGCTAGCACATTTTGGCTTGTATATGATTTTCTACCCCTAAACCGATCTTGCATATGGAAAGGTACACATGCTGGTATATGTGTACCATCCAAGGCTCCTATGCATCCCTACGGAAATATTTTTTTCAAAAAAAAAGATTAATATGACACCTAAACTAAACTCCAAATTATTGATTAACAAATTTGATGTACCTCAAAATAAGGGTGAAATCTGCCCGGAGAACTTGTTATCTTTGAATGTGTCTCAATAGATCTGATACATATGAGGTCACGACCAAGGGTACAAAGGGCATCTAAAACATGATGGAAATACCTACTAACAGTTTCACTTGACCTCATGAACTCAAAACCAATTGATCTGTTTGACCAATGGTGCCCAACACAATGGATAAACATGGCAACTTGTTCCTCTATTGACACATGAAAAGTGTCCTCTAGCAAGGCACGTGATCTAAGTTCATGACAGAGTTTATGAAATACAGCTTTCCTCATACGCAACTCACTTATGCAATGGGCCTCAGTACCATGATACAAACGATTTAGACGTGCCAATCTATCAACATCTCTATCTATCATGGGAGCATAAGTTATGGCCCTTCTTCTTTTTCTTGATTTAATCCTATGCAGATACATGGCCAGACACACAAGAATACCAGCAATTAACCTTCTCCTCCATATATAATGGAAGTAGTCCAAGTAATACTGCAAGTATAGTTTTCTTTGACCCATCTAAAACATATGTTCAGAAATAAGGATGAATCAGTAATAAACTAGCAAGGCATCTCATCATTGATTTTTTTTCTCCACCAGAAATCAATGCCAAATGGGATAATGGAATTAACCTTCTTTGTGTGCAAGGGCTTTCCGCACTTGAACCTTCTTTATCTGCAGGGACTGATTGCGCATGACCAACACCACGAGATGGATGGATCTTCACCTGTTTCACTGATTTGTTTCAGATCTGCACACATGGAGAGAACAACCAGAGCTCAACAGGGAGGGGAGAAGCAATGCGACTGAGATGGAGAAGACGGTTGTGGGACTGATAATTTCAGATCTTTACCTGGTTGACTGAACACCACGAGAAGCAGAAGCAGAGGCAGTCAGGCAGTAGGGGCGGCGGCGTCCTGGTCCTTGGACTTGCGCGTGGACGTAGGAGAGGCGGCGACAGCAGGGAGCGGGCGAGCGGCGGCTCCTGGCCGCGACGGCAGTAGGGCGCGGCGGCCTGATGCCTGGTCGCTAAGCGCGCGGGCGGTCCCTACGGGTGGCGTCGGCGACGGACCGGCTGGGAGGATGTCGGCATTTTTTTCGATTGGGAGGAGTGTCGGGAGATGATAGGGAGCCGGGATGCTTTTCTACTGCGGTGAAAATCCGCGGTGAAAATCCATGTTCAAAACGCCGCCACCGCCACCACACACTTTTTGGGAATTACGTGGCGGGGTAATTTAAATGGCGGCGCCGCCACCGCCCGTCACACTTTTGACAAAGGAATTCCTTGTGGGTAATTTAAGGTTAGGCGTGCCAGCCTTAAGGTTAGGCGTGCCAGCACGTACAAAAAACCTTGTGGCAAACTTAAGGTTAGGCGTGCCAGGCAGGCCACGATCCAAACAGCCCCACAGATACAGCAGCCTCACGGTCACGGTCACAGCGATCGAGCGGGCCAGTCTACGGGTGCTAGCTTTCTTTTCGGCAATGATTAGGCTCTGATTTGATGGGTGCGAAAGGCGAGAGCAGCATGCACTCGATCGATACCCTCTTCCCGGCTGAGCCCGGCCGTGCTTTGACTCTGCGCTGCTCACACAGTCCTACAACTCCACCGTCTCATGCTCCTTCCGTCCCATAACAGACGACGTTGGAAGAATGCGTTTTGATCAAATTTTCTCAACGTTAAGTAAGGCCCTGTTTAGATCCCACCTAAAATCCAAAAATTTTCAAGATTCTCCGTCACATCAAATCTTGCGGCATATGCATGGAGCATTAAATGTAGGTAAAAACAATAACTAATTGCACAGTTTGTCCGTAATTGGCGAGACGAATCTTTTAAGCTTAAATAGTCTATAATTGGACAATTTTTGCCAAATACAAACGAAAGTGCTACAGTGGCCAAAAGCAAAAAAATTTCGCATCTAAACGGGGCCTAAGTTTATAAAAAATACGTGTAACATTTATATCTCTAAATAAGTTTATTATAAAAGTATATTTAACGATCTATCTAATAATACTAATTATGTATTATAATTATTAATATTCTTTTATATATAATTGGTCAAAGTTTAAAAAATTGACTTTTCGAGAAGTAAGACTAACTTTTATTTTGGGACAGAGGAGTAGCCGGTAGTACTCTGCTCGCATCTCAGGGAGAGTCAGGCCGGGCACAGTAATGTTGGTGGAGTTGGACTAGCTCGCTTGCTGGCGCCTTCTTGAGCACTTTGACCTCCGATCGACCTTTCTTCCTTCTCATCGGGCTTAATTTATTTGCCATGGATGTAGTCGTCGTCAGTGCTGCCAACTCCCACCGACTTTTGCCTTGAATGTTTCGATGCTCGTTGAAGCATTAGGCTCCATGAGGGCTCAGGGAGCAGAGGTATATCTACACTCGCTCAAGATTTGAATCCTTGGTGGATGATCCCAATCAAGTTCTGGTCCTTCGAAATTACATTTGATTGTCCCATGAAAACTTGTTGGAGTCAAACAATGGGTGATTACAAGTTCGAGAAAGGGCCAGTAGTTCGAAAGTAGCAAGTTAATTGGGCCGATGAATTCTCTACAACTGCGTACCGGGCGAAGAAGGATGATGATGATAAATTTGTGACTTGTGAGGCATTTGTACGGAGGTCACGAGGCTAAGAGAGATGGAAAGGGAAGGCCATGTGTTTCGTTAGGGGAAAATAGTCTTAAAATCTGCATAATTCTTTAACTTAACCTATACTAAAAATAAAAAACAAGCATACCTACAATTGTCGGGGTCACAAGGACCTAGGTAAGGCCGCAAGTGGAGCGAACGATTTCGGCACCGCTTAGGCACCAAAAATGAACCGAGGGACACTAGGGAAGTGTTTGTCGTGCCAAATAGCTGGCCGCGTGCAATGCAAACACCAGCTTAAGAACATACGTCATGCTAGAAGTGGGGCGTGACAACCTATGGAATCGATCCAAACAAACCCCCTAGTTTTAAAGGGGGCTTGACATCCATGTGAGATTATGAGCTATGCAATGGATATTATCAATGGGGAGGTAGAAGATCGACAGTGGGATTGTTGAAAATGGATAGTGAACGAGAACGACTTATAAGGTGGGGGCTCTGGTGAACCTAGGTCGAATTGTCGCACACTCTAACTATATCGATGGTGGGGAGTACAAAAGTAATAGATTCCATGTCATGGCAGAGACAGATAGGATGGGAGGATCTATCTATTGTGGTGTCATGGTAGAGGTCGACATGGTGTCAGAGTGAGAGTATCTATTATCCATATTTGGCGAATAAAAAGCGGTCCCTATGTTCATCGCCAAGACCTACAAGTTACCAGGTTAATTGAATAAAAACAAAAATCAAGTAACCCTATACATGTTGATAAGTTATCCACCAATATCATTAAAAACCAAAAAAATAAACTATACTTATCCACTGTGTCATTGTTAAAGAAATAAATTCAACTACCTTATTGCACTTTAAGTCTTTAAATGCATTTAAGAATCCAGTTGCAAATCAAATGATCTTTTATGTAAAATATACTGTCATGACGTTGAAGTGAAAAAAACAAGATGTTTAAGAGTAAAGTAAAATTAAAGTACAAATACCATACAATTCAAGGTGTTTAAGAGGAACGCATAGTAGATGAGAAAGGCGATGTAGATAAAACTATATATCAAGATGCTGAAGTGGAAAAACAAGTGTGGGCTCATGAGTTTAAAAAACAAATATTATGATGATGAAGTGGAAAAGGATCTTATTAGATGAAAAATTGGATTGGATTTTGCGGTTCTTTTTTCTTCAATACCTTGACGTGACATGAGCGTGAAAGAGGTTCAAGAATTTGTTTTCTTTTTATAAGGGCTAAAAACGAATCACTTTTTTTTGA